TTCAAAACCTCCCACCCTATCCCAACCCCCCAATTCTCAAAAAATCCCCGAGAACAAAGCCAGCTGAAAATCTCATTAGCTGCCAATGGATTTATCCTGCTTCGTCTCCTTGGACTATTCGCCCTTCTCATACGAAGTTGTCTGAAAACCAAGGAACCATACATACTCCTCGATCCCGAGCCTGAAAATCACTATTGATGACTCGACTAACTAAAATCTAGAATATTACAGATACAATGAACAACATGACCTACGACCTGGGATATCGAAGCTTCAGACGAGAAATGGTCCCTATCATGAGGAAATGCGTCGAAGTAGCTCAAAACACACAGGACACCATTGATCGAGTCAACGACATGTGGGGGAAGACAAATATCCCCATGAAGAGACAATATCAAGCACAAGCTCTAAGAGAAATTCAAGACAACGAAAACAGAATCGCGCAGCTTCAAAACACTATCAACGAGCTGAAAGACACAATTCGTGACCTCGAAGAGACGTTACAATACCAAATATCACAAGGTCTACCTCCAGCTGCGGTCAGCCGAGTACTAAAAGAACACGAACACTTCTATATGAGACTGACCCAGGACACATCAAAGGAGATCAGCCTCCAACAAGATAGGAAAGAAATCAGAAAGTTCTATTACGGAACCATACACAGACTGGAAAACGGAACAACAAAACAGGACCAAACCAGCAAATAATGAATCTATCAAGGCGACTCATAACACTTGATACACGCATCATCACTCGCAATGGATCCTGAACTAAAATCCCTCCCTTGCAGCCATGAGGAGAAGGAGGAACTGAACCAAGCAAAACGATTCAACTCAACATTGAAAACGCTAAAACCCCTCAACGAACTATTCGCTTTTTTCCGTCGTATTTTTTTCAAACCTCTTGAAGGAATTTCGACCGGGCACACAAAAGTGGCCTCTCCTCGGCCTCATTGCCGGCGGCGGCGGACACCCAATCAGGTTTGGTCACGCGCCCGAGGAGGGGGGACAAACAAAAGTTCCCCCCTCCCCGGACACAGACGAAACCGCTCAAATCGAGACACATTTTTTTCTCCGGAGGGAGCCGGACTGGAGTCGTTGGCTGTTGGGTAGGGGGAGCCACCCCCGGCAGAGAATCCGCCCGCAAATACAACCACCAACAGCGTCGTAACGCAAATCAATGCGCACCCGACGCTCAAAGCAAGGACCCAGTCGGAGCACTTAAACTGGGATCTGACAACGAAAGTCGGATTGGGGTCCCGCTCCGCTCCGACTTAAACGTTGAGTTGAGCCCTCTCAACGGGCACTTCCACAACAACCGCGGAACCCTCCGCTTGCGGAGGATCATCCACGAAAACTCCGTAATGATTGGCGGCGCGCTGACGGGTCACTACTGGCGAACGCAGCATTTTTTTTCCAGACAAATTCTGAAAACGGACTCTGGAAATCAATCACCCTGAATTCACTCATCCAAGCCTCGCATCCACACATACATACGAATTCCACTCACTCGATTTTTTTTTCCTCGAGGTCTTCAATCCACGGTGATTTACAACGTCCGAACTACGGAAAGGACATCAGGGGTCACCGGCTTCGCGACTCCAAAACCGAAAATATCAAAACAAAACCTTCCAAATACTGCTGATCAACTCACCGGAACTTTCAACGGATCAAGCTATTTTTTTTTCCTGTACTCAACAACGTTTCTTTAACTTCAAGACTTTAACTGAACACGTTAAGAACCTCGATTCACAACCGTCTCGCTTGACGGTTGGACACAGGGTGACGACGTACATTCGTGGTGCGCAGCCTCGTGCGCGCGGGGGAGACGTGCATTGCCAGAACGTGGCAACCAGACTCAACGTGCAAAAGCACAACGGGTGAACGGACACGACAACGCGGACACCACTCAACAGTCTCCGTGACTTCGGAGACAGAGCGGCTCTCGCACTCGAGAGAGCTCGGCGCAACAGAAGCTACGCTCAGCGAATCAGCCCATATTGAGTAATCACACCGCATCATGGACAACGAAATATGAATCAGAGTAGTAGATAGAATTAGTATCTTCACCATACAGACCGACTCCTCGTTATCACTATCAGAGCGGCTGTTGAGCATGGAATATGTTAGATAGCGATAACTCCGAGCGATCATGTTGATCGGAAAGATCTCTCTCGGAGGACTCTCGTAAGACCAAAGGAAAGCCGTAGTTGTTGAGAGACCAAAGATCTTTGAGCCGGTTGGGAGATCCTCGAACGGAGGATACTCTGATAAACCGCGAGAACAAAGTGATCCCATCTGAGTCGGCACCAAGACCAAGATTAGACTTCAAGGCGCCACAAGTGTACGGCGATGGGTGCCAAAGCGGCTGGGTGTCTACGCAGCTGCGGGATCGGCACAGCCACCGGCATAAATGAAAGACGCGGGTTGTTAGACTGTACGGGGTGCGCTCTCTTCAACCAGCGAGAAGCTCTAGGTATAACTTAGGCTTCCCATTCTCTCTACGAGAATCTAGAATAACAACACCCCAGTCTCATAAAATAAACCACTGTCTTGTGAAACCTCTGCCCGAGTGATTCTTCGATCCTGCATCCGAGTGTCAGTGCCTGAACTCAATTCTCCCTACTGGTGAAATCGTGCCGCTGTGGGAACGTCCCGTCACCTTCGAATTCTCTCCAACCATCCACAACACCTGACCAGTTTTGGTCAGACAGCTTGTATTAACTACGATGACATATCCAAAACAGAGAGGAAGATCCCCTATACATTCCATAGAGCACAACCAATACTGTCAGTAATAGAGTGTACCACTGAAGGTAGTTCACATGGATCAGGGGCACTGGACTTGGGCCAGCAGGGAGTGGATGAGTATAGGGGAGATCCACCAGTTATGGGTCACCCCACCAGTTTTGGACGGGTCATCGGTTATAGACCACCCACCGGTTTTGGACTGGTCAACAGTTATGGAGCGGTCAGAATTTCGGGCCATTCTCCCCGGAGTGGTCGGAATACAATTAGTGTCGGGTCCTAAAGAATTCTGTCTATGTCGGAATTGTATCTCGCTCCGAACGGCAGAGCATGTATCAAACGGCCAAGCCAGCATGTCTGAAAATGACATCCGTGAGCATTTCGAGAAGCTTGAGTGCCTTCTCACTGAGGAAGGCCAGATCAATATCCTTCGTCAGCCGGATAGAGTCTTTAACAGCGACGAGACGTCGATGTCCCAGAATCCATCGGGACGGAGAGTACTCGCCGCGAGAGGCGCCCGAAATGTATATTCCCGTGGAGGGTCGGACTTTGAGAACGTTACGCTAATGGTCGCCGGGAATGCAGCGGGTGCGCTGGCGCCCATCGCGATCGTCTTGCGCCGGAAAAACCTGCCTGCCGCCCTGACCGATCTTATCCGTTGAGAATGGGTATTCCCCAACTCGGACCTGTATCCGTAAGAGTTAGCGCCTCGCTCAGAAGAGGCCCCACGTTAGATATACTCTCTCTCTTATATTTTCTGGTGAAGGTACAAAGACTGGTCTTGGTATCTTCAATGAATACTGGGCTCTCAGCCTTCATGCTGAAGTCAGCCCTACGTAGTTCGAGTCTCTCTTTACTCTCGCGTTACCACGCAAACTTATAATCTGAAATCTGCTCAACGAGAAGGTTCCGAACCTCCACACGTTATCAGCACGAAAAGCTCTACGGCTGAGTGAAAGCCCAGAAGCTTGAAGTCAACTTAGTATCTAGTACGAACTCGAATATTTGAAGACTTAAATATTCATCAAGTTCAAAATGTCACAAGCTGACTCCGGAGCGGCTAACGCAGCGGATAGGAAACCAGTAGTGCAGTGGCGTTCCTAGGGGGGGGCAACCGGGGCACGTGCCCCGGGCGCCGACTTCGGAGGGGCGCAAAATCGTGATTTCTGTTCATTTTAGCTAAGCGCGAATAGGGAGGTTAGAATTGATTCTAATACAGTGGAATTCAAAATTTATACAAGAGACAGTGAAGCTATCTCCTCCCGCAACATGGAGAGCCATCCTATTGGTCCGCTCGAGTGAAGCGAATGTCTCCAAGAGATATATGTACGTTCTCAGTGACCCTCGCTGATCCTCCTCCCCGTGTCTTTGCGCCACACGGAATTCACTATCTCGCTCTCTCGCCAAAGTTTGGCGCGTAAACAATTAAGGGTTCTGCGAGAAATACACACACATACATTACTGTGGAAATTCGGGTGAGTTCTGCGACTTCTCCGATGAAATTGAAGCTCCAAATCCATGACTCGAGTCACGGCGAAGCTCTCATGTTAGCTTGTTTTGCAGACTGAAGTATAGACATGAAACGAAATGGTATTAAGGAAAGCGGAGCTCAGGGCCGAAAACGAAGGAAATCGATCCATAGACAGACGGAGAAAAGTCGAAAGGTTCTCCTGTCATTTTTAGCTCGGATAAATCGACAACACCGCAAACTCTTCCGCGGGAACCCCATTTGATCACGATGAAGTACCACCGACTCCCCCTGATTCCCTTTGTGATAGCGATGAAATACCGTTGACTCCGACTGATTCTCTTCGTGCTCGCGATGAAATACCGTCGACTCCGACTGAATCTCTTCGTGCTCGCGATGAAATACCGTCGACTCCGACTGATTCTCTTCGTGCTCGCGATGAAATACCGTCGACTCCGACTGAATCTCTTCGTGATGGCCATGAAATACCGCCGACCCCGACTGATTCTCTTTATGACGGCGACTCAGACCCAGTGACTTCGGAAGAAATTTCCCGTGATACCAGTGTCACAGCATCATCAGTGAACGCTCCGGAAGACTCACTCATAACCAATGTCTCATCCACACCGGCAGCTATCGCCGAGCACGATCTTGGGCTACTGGAGTTTCACTCGAATTCCGGAAAAGTCACCGTCTCCGATAGTTTAAGAGTTGAGATGGTGACCCTAGGGAGCGAGTACTTTCAGAACAGAAACGGCCCTTTTTTTTCGACGCGGCGGAGATGCATGACTCAATCGTGGTTCTACAAAAGGTTGGGAAATGGCCTCGGCACAAAGATTCTCCGCACATGGCTCGTCTACTCTCCAACGAAGGGCGCAGCTTACTGCTTCTGCTGCCTTCTCTTCGCCAGAGCTGATGGACACAATTCAGCACTGACGTCCTCCCAAGGATTCACGAAGTGGAAAAATATAGAAAGGATGGATGCTCATGAAAATGCTCCGTCTCATAGAGCCTGTTTCGCTGATTGGAAAGAGCTCGAAAGAAATCTGAGAACTAATAGCGCTATCGATATCGAAGTGCAATCAGTGTATGCAACCGAGAAACAGAAATGGAGGTATGTTCTCAGCAGAATAAGTCACTGCATCAAATTCCTGGCTACACAGAATTTGCCACTCAGAGGCCACCGGGAAAACCAATGCGAAGACGTGGGTAATATCGGGAATTTTCTCGGCCTAATGAAGCTCGTCGCAAACTTCGACCCAATCATCAAGGACCACATGACTCGCGTCTCGGGGAAATCCGGGCTCGACGTCCTATCTGGGGTCTAGAACGCAGAATGAGCTCATTCATCTCATGGCAGGACAAGTGAAGGAAAAACTCCTGAGAAAAATCAGAAAGGCCAAATATTACGGGATTCTCGTGGATTCCACACCCGATCTTGCTCACAGAGAGCAACTTTCGTTCGTGTTGAGATATGTCGACGTTGATTATGAACAGAAAAAAGCTCAGGTCAGGGAGTCTTTCCTCGGCTTCGTTCAAGTACATGAAAGAATGCTGAGGCATTGGTAGCGACGATCTTGAAAAACTTGAGGACGACAAGCTGGATTTCGGGAACTGCCGGTCCCAATGCTATGACAATGCCGCCGTCATGGCCGGTCACCGCTCCGGTGTGAATCAACGGCTGCTCGAGAAGAATGGTTTAGTCGTTATTCGTGAATTGTGATAATCATTCCCTCAATCTAGCCGGCTTGCACTCTGCCCGCAGTGAACCAGCAATGATTAGCTTCTTCGCGACTATTGAAGCCCTGTACGCCTTCTTTTCCCGTTCGACTCTGCGATGGGAGAAGTTGAAAAAGACGATCCCCGTCGGACTGAAACGCGAGTCTGAAACAAGATGGAGCTCTCGCAGCGATGCTGTCAAAGTAGTCAGCACGCATGTCAGGGAGATTATCGATCTCCTGGATAAAATGTCTGATGACTCCTGCGACTCGGTAGAAACTAGAAGTGAGGCACGTCAGTTATTCACCCGCATGGTCTCGTATGAATTCTTGACGCTTCACGGCTTCTGGAATAACCTCCTGAGCAGAGTCGATAGGGTCCAGAAGAGACTCCAGGATCCCTCCATGAATTTCCATGAAGCTGCCAATGATCTGTCGTCTCTGAAGAACACCTTCTCCAGAGAAGGATGCGATTTCGTAGACGCAGCCATCACTGATGGCCAATGCCTCTGCGATGAATACGATGTAGCATTCGAGAAACGCAATAGGAGAAGAAGAAGTATGCCAGATGAACACCGAAACTCTGAAATCTCCGCTATACAAGAAATGCGCCGTGTTATGTACTCAACGATCGACCGGCTTCAGCGAGAAATGAGAGAAAGGTTCGAGCGACTGACAAACCTAGACAATACTTTCGGGTTCCTTCTCGACACTCAGCGGCTACTACAAGGCCAGCTGAACGAATTGAGGTCCGATTGTTTGTCATTTGCGAATATGTATTCGGATGATGTCGACGGTAACGACTTATACAGAGAGATATGTGATTGTAGGATGTTAGTCAGCGTGCGGGAGGAGTTACGATTAAGGAAACCCGAAGAACTCCTCAATTTCATCATAGAATACGGCGACGAGAGTGTCTTCCCCAATCTTCGGGTAGCGATACAAATACTACTGACGATTGCCGTCTCGATCGCCAGTTGCGAGCGATCCTTCAGCAAGCTTAAGCTCATCCTATCATACCTCCGAGCGTCAATGGGGCAAGACAGACTGATTGATCTCTCTATCATGAGCATAGAGAGAGAAGTCACCGAGGACACCGACTTCGAATCTTTAATCGATACCTTCGCTTCGGTGAAGGCTCGAAAAGTCGTATTTTAAACATGTGGTATATTGTGATACGTGGTAATTCGGAACCTTCGAATGTTTTAAGTTTAAACAGAGTGAAGAGATCAGAACAATAAATGTAAAGATGTATATGTAAAGTATACTGAAAACTCAATCCGTCGTCTTCTGTAGAAAAAAAAATCGACATGAAGGGGGCGCATTCCCGTCCTCTGCCCCGGGCGCAAAATGGGCTAGGAACGCCA